ATGTCAAAAACAACTAATTAGCTGTGAATTCTTGACCATTTCTTCACAGATCATTAGAAACTTGAAGCAACAGAAATGTTATTCAAGAGAAGGATGCTGAGAATACCATGGACTACATATTTGAGCAACGAAGATGTTTTAAAGAAAATGGAATCTTACAATATACCATCAGAGATAGTTGATATTTCTAGGACAGATAATGAGGAAATAGGGCTAGGAAACTTTATTACTCACAGGAGAGATTGAAATCAAAAGGGACAGAAGAAACATATCTAGCGGGTTTGAGTAAATGGTTGACAGAGCGTGATTTAAGAGAAATATCAATTTATTAAGAGCTGTAATTTACTAGAAATTGTAGAGGGTCATGATTAGCAATGCCCTTTAAAAATATGGCACATAGAAGAATAAATATCCCTGAGCACCTTTCTCTGTTTACTCTGCTTCCAGCACAGTTTGACTTCTAGACACGTTGTGATTTTTCTTTATGCAGGAGTCTTTTATTTAAAATATCCATTCTATTTTTTTTTATGTATTCAGTTTTAGAATGCTTAGTCTCGTTATGGACAGTTTTAGAAATATTCCTTTACTGATTACTAGTTTTATTCCATTATTTCCGCATTCTTCAGAAATATAGCTTTCAAAGCGGTTTCCCATTTTCGAAAAGCTACTGTTTCTGATAAGATTCGTATAGAAAGCCAAATTGTTTAAGCATTATTTGAAGGAGATATGTTTCCACGGACTATGGAATGTGTCAACTGAATACCCAGTTTAAAAGAATGCGGGTCAGTACTTATGCTCATCGCAATATCGCCCCATCAGCCACCGCAGTGTCATCAGCAAGATTTTGAAGATACCATCAGCAAGAAGTTTGTCAATCATCTTGACATCCAACTGAGAGATAAACACGGCGGATTTTGCTTCTGAAGATACACTGCTAATCTCGTAGCCTTTATTCCTCAGAGAATATGTAAAGCGCTTGATAATATTTCTCTCTAGAGAGAAATTTCTTTAGTTATCTCGAAGGCCATTGACAAGGTGTGGCATAAGTTCCCCAGTTATGACATTTCTAGTATATACTTCTGTTATAGAGTAGTTTCACCGTGGAGGCTTGTATTTGTACTAAGTCTGTCCTAAAATAGGTACAACGTACAAAACGTTAGGAACTTGATATAAGAGTTAATGATGCAGCAATCTAGTCGTGGTGGCTGATACTTTAATATCCGACTAACGGTCGTCCGGCATCGACTGACTCACCAACTCACTGAGCCGACTCAGTGAGCGACTGCTACTACTCCTACTTATTATAGGTGAGAGAGTCTATTAACAATAGAATAGGTGTGTTTCACTGTAACAACTTCTCGATTATCAAACTTTTAATATTGTGTAGGTCGATAAAGATTGTTATTAATTTCCAGTTTTCTGGCATCGCGAAATAAATGCAAGTGTACACCTACGCTATATATTCCTGGTCCAACATTTTTTCTGATAACAATTAAATATCTCCCTGAGAGCATTTTCAGATCACAAGTAAAAATGTATGCTAACCATGATACATTTTATGGGATCAACACCATATAAAGATGGCCAGAACATGGGAGCTGACTCATCATTTGATTCTGGTCTCGCAGCTCGTTGAGCAAGGAACTGGTTTGTAATATTCAACACATCCAAAATAATGCTGTTATGTTTTCTTCACCACAGAGCAGACCGTAAATTGCTTTGGTAACCTTTAGAATTGTTGTCCAGTCAAAGAGATTCCTGAACTTGAACGTCTGTCGGTAATTAAATATCACACTACTCTTCTAGTGGAGCATATATATGATACATGTTTAGCCCTGCGTTGTTTACAATGGCTGATTCTTACTCCAAAATTCTAGACGTTCTCGTAATTTCTATTTGGCAACTTGTTTCTTTTACTTCCTACTACTACACTCCTGACTCAATGAAGGTTTAGACCACGCGGTGTGGCGCGTTACACTGTTACTCCACTTGACTAAAGAAGGTAAGTGTGTGTGTGTGTATATATATATATATATATATATATATATATATATATATATATATATATATATATATAGAAAACTAGGAAATCAGCCATTTCACTACCTTGGTTTCAACCTTTAGGTATCTTCAGGCGATTTCGGTCAATTCCTTTTACTTACTTTTTTAAAATAAATAATTATGAACGCTATATTTAAAATAAATAATAAGTGTATAAACGCACGACTTGTGGTGTGGCAGAAGATAAACTGGTAATCTATTGGTGGTGGATTAAATGAAATACACATACGTTCTTTTCATCCCACCTAAAATGAAGGCAAGAGTACATTTATTTTTTTTTAGTTGTATACATACTAAAAAGCTCCTTCCATCCGAAACATACCAGTAGAAAATACAGGAATAATCACCTCTTCCACGTGTAAAAAAAAAAACGATAGAAAATAATGTAAACTTCAGTAATAAAAAAAGCCAACACTCAATAATAAGTAATAATTATAAGTACGGCCACGGCCACAGTGTGATCATTTTCTTCGGGAAATAAACAACTTTATGACCAGATATATACACACAACACTTTAGAAAAAATATCATTCTTGATAATGGTTAATAGTATAAACGGAAATCCGCAGATTTACAAAATATTTGAACAGTTCCTACACACAGTTTCCAAAAAAGAACACATTTTTTCGAACACAAGAAAAATGAAATAAAAAGATTAATCGCAATACCTTGTCCCTCGTCTTTAATGAAACAGGTATAAAAAGGGATTGCTGCCTAAATACACAATATATATATATATATATGTATGTGCGTGTGTTTGTGTATATATATATATATATATATATATGACGGCCATGAAAAAACAACATTTATTTTTATTACTATTCATGACGATAACAGATAAAAACTATTACTACAAAACGGGCTAGCAAACTATTTAATAAGCTAAATTGAATTTAATAAATTATAATAACAATAAATGGACAATATGTATTGGGGAAAATCTTGTTTACATGAAAATATGCTTCTGTTTACACAGCGAGGGCTTCAATGATAAAATATAAATGGTCTCCAACTATTTCAAGGAGTAATTCGAGTGGTACTTGATAAGAATAGTAAAGGGCTCCACGCATATGTATTGGTCAGAATATCTGAAGGTGTACTTAACATTGCGGATTTTCGATGAAACGTTTTGCTCTTTTCTGATATCCAGCCTTTGTGTAGTTCCCCCTATGTAGTGCGAACCATACCTATATTTAAAGGATGAATAAATAAAAAAAACTATTATGATGTTGAGAGGGAAGGTCCTTCCGTGTTGAGAGAAGGACAGGTTTGGAAGAAATTACTATACGAGTGTTAGCAGCAACAATTGTGTATATTCCCATTTAACGAAACGGGTTGCAGTAAGTTAGGCCATAAATTTCGCAGTTTAATCGAGAAACATTTCCCAAATAATAATCTTCTAATGAAGATTTTCAATGAAATTTCGCATAAATTAAGTTACAGGTGTATTGATAATCTAGAAACAAATATTACAAAACAATGATAAAATTTCAAATCAACACTAAAATCAATGTAACCATAATAATTTCAAAACTGAAATCAATAATAATACATTATGTAATTGCAGAAATCCTAAAAATTGTCCATTGCAGAATATGTGTCTTACTGAATAAATTCTTTACCAATGCACTATTCTATCTACAGAAAACCAGGCCGTTAAGAAATTTTATATGGGTAGTACAAAAACAAACATTTAAACTGAGGTGGTATGAGCACATATGTCCTTTTAATAATAATGCGTACCGTAACCGAACATCGCTTTCTAAATACTTTTGGCATTTAAAAGAGATTGATAAAACCTCTACAGTAAAATGAAAAATATTTAAAAAAAAATAACAGCAAGAATTTGTAAAACCTTAAATGACCCATGTCCCCTCTGTTTACATGAAAAGTTGCATATTATAAAAAAAATCATTAATAAAGCTCTCCTAAACCAGAGAAATGTATTAACAGCAATTTGTAGATATTGTATAATGTTTCCTTTAAAATATAGCGAAAAACAATTTTTCATAAAAAAGATATATGCATTACAATTATATATCCATCATTTTATTAATATATAATGATCCGCATATTTATTTCTTTGATTTTTCAACTTTAATATTGGCATGATTTATTGACCATTCAATATAATAAGTATCGTATTTGCGGTTCAAAATATGTATAAAATGTTTTAATTACAATAGTGGCCACTTTAAGGTGTGTAATTTAAAAAAAAAACAAAAAAAACTTGAATAACATTGTGTTAAATATAACTATGTCTACTTCACAGCAGGTAAACCTTATATTTTCAACGGAAGGACGTCTGTGGTGGACGTGTCGATTTATCTAGACATTAATAAATAAACCCACGTATTCCTATCTTCTGACCTAATTTTTCATTTTTTTTTTTTTGCTTTGTCCCGTCTTTTGATTGGTTAATCAAGACATGCCCACAATTTTTTTTTTTTTTTTAATTTGGGAATTATGGTTTCCTCCTTCATTTTTATCTCTCAAATGTTCCGATTTTTTTTTCAGATTTCCCAAGTAAATTATTTTCATTATAAGGGATCTTAGATCGCCTGATAAGGTACCATTTTAAAGTTCCTAAACCGGAGAATTTTTGTGTAGCGATGTAAATTATAATATTTTGCTCTACGTTGTACTCAGCATTTTATAAAAGGAACTGCAATGAACTGTGGATTCTTAATTTGTCTGTTCTTTCTCTTTATTTGGTTTGATATATATATATATATATATATATAACTATATTCAGACAAAAGAAACAATGACGAGAGTATCAGAGTGAAATCAGTTGCGTGTCGGGGAGGGCGAAATATATATATATATATATATATATATATATATATATATATATATATATATATATATAAGAGAGAGAGTGAGAGAGATAGATAGAAAAAGAGGAAAAAAGAGAGAGGGACAAATTGAGATATTTAAAAGAGAGAGAGAGACAGACAGAAAGAGGGTCCACGAGAGAGGGAGAGAGAGAGAGACAGACAGACAGAAAGAGGGTCCGAGAGAGAGAGAGAGAGAGAGAAAGAGGGGTCCACGAGAGAGAGAGACAGAAAGAGGGTCCACGAGAGAGGGAGAGACACACACAGAAAGAGGGTCCACGAGAGAGAGAGAGAGAGAGAGAGAGAAAGAGGGTCCACGAGAGAGAGAGAGAGACAGAAAGAGGGTCCACGAGAGAGAGAGACACACACAGAAAGAGGGTCCACGAGAGAGAGACACACACACACAGAAAGAGGGTCCACGAGAGAGAGAGAGAGACACAGAAAGAGGGTCCACGAGAGAGAGAGACACAAACACACACAGAAAGAGGGTCCACGAGAGAGAGAGAGACACACACAGAATGAGGGTCCACGAGAGAGAGACACACACACAGAAAGAGGGTTCACGAGAGAGACACAGAAAGAGTGTCCACGAGAGAGAGAGAGACACACAGAAAGAGGATCCACGCGAGAGAGAGAGAGACGCAGAAAGAGGGCCCACGAGAGAGAGAGAGACAGAAAGAAGGTCCAAGAGATAGATACAAAAGGACAAAGAGTGAGATACAAAAAGAGAATGAGAGAGATAAAAAAAATACGGCAGCAATTACAGAAACAAACTTTACCCAACTTACTCAAAGCAACCAAACTGAATATTGAAATATCCAGCACATTTTTTTCATTTAATAAGCGACATAGATTCTTGGATTCTATTTTGATACGAGGAAAATGTGTCATAACCGTCAACTCATCATCCAAAATTCCTCATGAATTTTGTAAACCTCCTTTAAGATATTCTCTTGATGTATATAACAGAACAGGATAGATGTATATACTCTTCTTTTTATTGTTATTCTTTTGAATATAAAATGTAGAATAATGGCAGGTTTTATAAAATATTGTTAAAATATTATTTAGGTAAAAATTGTATATTTTACCTACACAATATCATATTACGATTCAAGTTAATTTTGCCTAATATTTTGTTTGGAAAATCTATTAAAACTATTGTCTTTGTACTTTGTTTTGTAAGCCCAATACATAAAATATATATATATATATATATATATATATATATATATATATATATATAATAATAGGCTTAAACACTAATATTCCATGGTCATAATTTATTCCATTGGAATCGTAAATACGATCCAAATCATGATTTGGATCGTATATACGATTCAATGGAATAAATTATGACCATGGAATATTAGTGTTTAAAATTTTTATTATATCCTTACTCTGTCCTAGACATTGAGTTCTACCTGGATCCTTCCTCTTGGAAAATTTTTTTCTGAAAATATACATGTATGGAATTTTTTAGATATATTTTTTCATATGTATGTATATTTTCCACTAATATTATCTATCTATCTATATATATATATATATATATATATATATATTTTTCGTGTGTTAATTTGTTAGCATTGCTGAAGGACAGGGAAAGGTCAATATAATTTGAAAAATGAATGAAACAGAAGGAATCAAGATGGGACTCTCTATCTTATATATATATATATATATATATATATATATATATATATATATATATATGCTTCATGTCGTTAAAGTATTTTAATTACAATATGTTCTAATACTTTACGAGATTGCAGTTTATTTCTTTGAATCATCGATGTTTTTTAGTGAATTTTCAAAACCTCTTCTCTTACGTAGAATGCGTTCTCCTTCTGGTGTTTATTCTATTTTTCCTATGAAATTTTATATGTCTTTCTTTGCTAAATTGTTTTTTCTTTATTAACGCATTTGTGATTCTGCCTTTCTGCCTCGTAAAAAATTTCCATCCCACACGCTATATATTTCATTTTTTTTTTTTTTATAAACCGGGAGTTTTTTTTTATGTTTCATTAAAAAATAACACAATATTGCGATTTGTACTTAAATACTATACCAATAATTTTTAAACTGTAATGATTTTTGTCGACGATGTGATCATTACTGATTAAAGCATTTTTCGTGTCCTGATAATAAGCAAGAGCCTTTATCTAATAATAATAATAATTTATCAAATAACAGGTGGGGTAATACATAATAATATTTTTACCGGTGAATCTAAGTTGCCTTTAGATTTGATTGCGTTTTTATCATCAGGATCATGAACACGAGTCGCAGACGCCATTAAGGTCGTAGGAACGTCACAATTACTGCAGCCCTACTAGAAATTGTGTTTCTTGCGCAAGGTAGCCTGACGAAGCTCAGCCCTCTACAAGCTGGTTTTGAATTCAGAGAGATTTCCTTCGAGACCGCTTGCCTATTGTTATAGAGTAGTTTCACAGTAGAGGCTTGTATTTCTCTAAGTCGGTCCTAAAATAGGTTCGACGTACAAAACGTTAGGAACTTGATACGCAGCAATCTAGTTGTGGTGGCTGATACTTTAATATCCGACTAACGGTCGTCCGACATCGACTGAGTGACCAACTCCCTGAGCGACTGGCGACTGCTACTACTCCTACTTATTATAGGTGGGAGAGTCTTAACTATAGAATAGGTTTGTTCCATTATAACACTTATGAATGTTAAAGAACTGAGAACTATATGCTATTATTATGTATTTCTTAAATAAATCACAAAATTTACATTGCTTTTACTATCGTGAAATCCATTGGCTACTGAAACCGAATGATATAGCCGAGCCAATAAACAATTCATTTTTTTTTTCATCAGATACAGTAAGGAAATTTGTTAACAAGCGGAATATACAGCATTGTCAATAATAATAAAGAGGGGGAGAAAAATAACAGGGTAGCATAATATGAGGCAAGACAATGTAATATAAGGAAAGCATAAGAACTAAATACATAATAAAGACGTTCAGAAAATAGAAATAGTGTTCACACGTAAAAGTGATACAGCCAAGTTTTTATAGCCTTCTGCCTTCAAGGCAAGAAAAAAAATGTGTAGGCAAAACAGATAATTGTCTTTTTTCATTGTCTAGGAAGAAGTCTTAGTAGGCATTTGTAGGATTGGTTTATAAATTTGGACAGTTAATTCATGAAACTGAAACCAACGAACTTACTGTGCAGGTGTGTGAAAGTATATATATATATATATATATATATATATATATATATATATATAAATCGATTCTCCCGTCGTATGAGGGTCAAGCAGATCAGTTTCCAGGAAACTGACAGCCCGACACCGGCACATGAGTTTCGATTATAGTGGTGAAGGTTTCGTGCAGGACCATCCACACTTTTTGAAGGGCCGAATACAGAGACCTGGTGCACTACGTGCAACAAGGTCCTCAAACAACCCCCTCAGGTTTGAATTCAGAGTTGTCCTTCTCCTAGACCAGTTGCCATCCAAGGCTATAGAACCCAGCCTGTCCTGCTATTTAACCCATAGCTGGAGGGAGAAGAATAGGATTCACACTTTTCCCAATATATATATATATATATATATATATATATATATATATATATATATACTAGCAGCGTTGCCCGTGCTTGATTCAAAAATCGTACAGCTCATACAGCAATCGCTATCACTTGACTTAAAAATATTTTTTTGCCCTTTGCCGTGCTGATGTTGCTACATACCTTACTTCTTGCCTCTCACACTGCGAATTTTTTGTAAGCTCTATACTAAACATTACATCTTTTACGAAAAAAGAACTAAACAAAATGAAAACAAAAAGATCAGCTTTAAAAAAAGGACTTGTAACTGGAAAAAAAGAATGTTAACAACAAATACTTTTTCACACCCAACCCAGTTCTGCACAATCAGAATCAACGTTGAGTTTAAGCAAGCCAATTGGAGTAAAGTGCCATGCAGATTTAGATTTTTCCCACTTGTGGCGAATACAGCTATCGATAGTTTTTACATGCGAGGTAACATTCGTGTCAGTCAGCTGTTGGCTCTACCGCTGGCTAATAGAGACTTCCTGCCTATTCGTGGCTACAAAATAGCCGCAAACTACATGAAAACTGCCGTAGAAGCATGAAAAAATCGATGATTTCCACTATCGATGGAAGTTGGGAAATGCAAAGTCGGTGTTGGCCTTCACGCTAACTTGGAGCATGTGCATGTAAATTTTGGTGCATATCCATCGAAAATAGCGGCCGTGCATTCGTTATACACACAGATAGTGATATAAATACAAACACATATTTGATATATTTAATAAGCTGATTATATATTAATTTTTTTCTCTACGCGTTTCATGCAATATGTGCAGTTTTCGGTCGGCAAAATATCTTATATATATGGTTCCTACTTCACAAATTTGTTCTGCAAAGATTGTATGAAAATGATAACAGCGGAGGATGTACAGAAATGTTTGTTGTTATCGAGATAATATGAGTCTTCATATTTTGTTTAACGTCGAAGAAATTAATTTAATATTAAGGGCATTATCGCGAAATTATTGATATTATATATATAAGCAAAGAGAAGAAGGGATTCAAATTCGTCTGATAAATATGATGGGAAGCTCGACTGATTTCATTATTGCAAAGATTCAATTATCACATTGACCCTAGATACCAAACACACACACACACACACATTACACACCATATATATATATGTGTGTGTGTGTGTGTGTGTGTGTGTGTGTGTGTGTGTGTGTGTGTGTGTGTGTTTGTGTGTGTATGTAGGTATGTATGTTCATATACACATACATCACAAAACTAATGAAAAAAACATTTTTACACAACAATTATGTTATTTATCAACATAATATCCGTCTTTTGCAATGCACTTAATGCATATATATATACACCACTTATACACCATATTATTAATACGAATTCAGTTATATCAGGTTGCGGGCTTATTGATCACTCCTTGTATGAATGCTTCAGGCTATGCGAAGAGTGTCCATAAAATTTTGAATTTAGGTGGGGACAAAAGATGTTCACGTGATGTGTCTGAAACGAATCGCCGCCAGTTATTTGACGTCTGTAAATCTTCAAATAATATTTTTATGTCGCTTTTTTTGTGTGGCGATGTTGTAAAAAAATGATCAAGTTTATAAATACAAGAGAATATTGAAAAATTGTCGTCTTGACCTACTTCGCAAAATATAATCAAATGTCCAAACATCAGATTTTTCTCTATTAGTCAGGCCAATAAATTGTCGCTAACTTCTCCGATATAGCGTCCTGGTCTGTGATCTAAGTAGAAACTAGTTTCAATCACTGTCGAAATCTGTCATTGATGGTAAGTTATTCATTACCTAAGTTTGAGCTACAATCAAATTTATATATCATTTTCAACTACACATACTATATATATATATATATATATATGAAATATAAACGAAAAAAAAAAAAAAATCTATAGAAAAACTGTAGCTTCAGCCGACTTTGGAATGTGGACTATTTCCCCCAAAAAGTACACATTTGGCAAAATGCGTCGATTATACTACGGTCTTCCTATAGTCTTTTTTAATACATGTCGTTTTCTGCAGGTTAAATGATATATATATATATATATATATATATGAAAAAATATTATCTTAAGGTGTGCTATATTTATGGGATAAAGTGCCCAATATCAGAGATAGAGTGTTTGTAAATATAAAAGTGAACATGGAAGCCAACACTTAGAGGCCTGACGATTGCTTATAGCATGAAACAGACTGTCGCCTCTAAGTGTTGACTTCTATGTTCACCTATATATATATATATATATATATATATATATATATGTGTGTGTGTGTGTGTGTGTGTATGTTTGTGTGTGTGTGCGTATGATAAAAACAT